TATAAGAGACAGGTCACTCGGTCGCCGCGGCCTCCCCGGCGGCTTTCTCTTCCCTCTCCAAGGGCGGCCGGCTGCCAGATTTGCCCCGCTGTTGTTAGTACCCGTTCCCCGGGGCGCTGGCCAGGAGGGCGCGGAGGCCCCTTGACGGCGCACAGCTGCGGTGGTGGGATGGGGCTGCAGCCCCACGGCTCAGCCCCCGGCCCGCTGCTGAACGGGCCCCCTTGGTAGCGCCCTGGGCTATTAACCTTCCGGGACCTGTGAGTGGCCACCGCAGCGTGTCGGTGCGGCACGTGAATCCAGGCCAACAGCCAGCCCCGAGAAATTCATTACTTTCGAACACACACACACCCCCCGTGAAGTATTCCTCCAGCCAGTTGCCACTCGTGGCACCTACTGACGATGAGAAACAGCCCCCGCGGCTTTGTAGGACTGCCAGGGCAGCTCGGAGGTGTGAGGGCTGCTGTCATCATGATGGGCAGTGTTCAAGACATAAGGCTAAAACTGATCAGAGGGCTGACAGCAGAAATTGGGCATCTGCAGTGCCCTGGGATAACAGCTTCACCTCCTTGCTGCCATCTGCAAGTTTTCCTGGTTTTCTACAAGTTGTTTGTCTGCACAGCCAATGCTTTCTGGCTGCCCCCACCTACCATCTGCCTGTTACCATGTTTAATTGTAGATCTGTTTCTCATTTCATAGTGAGATACTTTCTTCATGTCCTTCTATATACTGTTTGACCTGTATAATTGCTTCCTGCATACTGTTAAAAATATTTTGAACTTTCAGTTACAAAAGATTTGCTGGCTGATACACAGCCTTTCAAATAGAACTCTGGACTTTTTCTTTCTTTCTTGAATAAAAGCATCATCCCAAATATTTTCCTTCCATGATTGATATGAAAGAATTGTAGAATGGTTTGGGTTGAAAGGGCCCTTAAAGATCATCTAGTTCCAACCCCCTGCCATGGGCAGGGACACCTTCCACCAGACCAGGTTGCTCAAAGCCCCATCCAGCCTGGCCTTGAACACTTTGGGGGAGGGGGCAGCCACAGCTTCTCTGGGAAACCTGTTCCAGTGCCTTACCCCATATCTAATCTAAATCTACCCTCTCAGTTTAAAACCGTTACTCCTCATCCTATCACTACACTCTCTGATAAAGAATCCCGCCCCACCTTTCCTGTATCACCCCTTTAGGTACTGGAAGGCTGCTAGAAGGTTTACCCAGAGCCTTTTCTTCTCCAGGCTGAACACCCCCAACTCTCAGCCTGTCCCCATAGGGGGGATGCTCCAGCCCCCTGATCATCTCTGTGGCCTTCTCTGGACCCACTCAAGCAGGTCCATGTCCTTCTTATGTTAAGGGCCCCAGAACTGGAAACAGTACAAGTGGGGTGTCACGAAAGCAGAGTAGTATCACCTCCCTTGACCTGCTGGCCACACTTCTCTTGATGCAGCCCAGGATATGACTGGCTTTCTGGGATGCGAGCACACATTGCTGGGTCATCTTGAGCTTCTTGTCAACCAACACCCCCAATACATCCTTCCTTTTGACTGTTCAGAAGGATTTGCCTCCATCGTTTTATATTTTATACAGCTCCACCTCTCAGTATCATCATGGTCATCTGCAACCCTTTTGCTAATTGTTTTCCATATACAATCCTAAATCTATTCTGTTACTCTACCTCTTTTTTTCTCTCCCATTCTTTTGGATTTGCTCCCTCTTGGTATCTACATGCAGTTTTTGTGTTATATGTTAATCTATGCATGTTTTCTGTATATTAGTGGTATCCTTGGTAGTTCCCCGCAGTTCTTGAGTTTTCTGGACTGCTCTCCTTCAATTCCTTTCTAGAAGGATATCTGGCAGAGGCACAAATCAGACATAGAATGAAGCACATTGTGTGCACTCCAGAATGGCTGACTTTTTAGTTCATAGTTAAAATGCACTAGCATATCCAAAAACTTCACAGTTTAAGCGGCTACATCCAAGATAGCCCCTTTACCAGGCCTTGCTAGCAGCAACTGTGATGGATAGAATAGAGTAGATTTCAGTTGGAAGGGGCCTATAACAATCCTCTATTCCAACTGCCTGAGCAATTCAGGGCTGATCAAAAGTTAAAGCTTGTTATTAAGGGCATTGTCCAAATGCCTCTTAAACACTGACAGGCTTGGGGCATCGGCCATCTCTCTAGGAAGCCTGTGCAAGTGTTTGACCACCATCTCAGTAAAGAAATGCTTCCTAGTATCCAGTCTGATAACCTGCAAGTCATCACCAAATGGTCTGTTCATGATCTGGTTCATGATAGTGAAGCATGTTTTTGACTCACCTGCAGAGACCTATGTAGTACTAAAGAAGTTGTAAAATAATACATTTGAGATGCTCTTGCAAGAGGACAAGCATGATGGCTCTGCCTGTCATCTATGCTTTGAAGTATCAGGAACCAGGATCTCACTATTTATGTGTTCAACAATTACTAGATTTAACAGAAAAGCTCCAAAATAAAACTGCTTGGCCTTATCCATTAGCTCCTTCCTTCTGCTCCCTGCTAAATACCAACACATTTATTCTTAGAGGACTTTTTTTTTTTTTTCCCTGACATCTCAGGGAAACAGGCTTAAATTTGGTATTCATGCTACATATATTTAATTCTACTTCATACATAGAACTCAATAAATGCCATGGAGTATAAATAGGGATATATTTTAAATTGAGAAAGTTATGAGGCTAGAATTTGCATTAGAGCAGTGGTTTGATTTGGAGAAGGAACCTCCTTTCTCATATATATTCCATTAAAGGAAACCACTGCAAGTTCCATCTCAAATTATTTTGAACAAGTAAAAGGCAATCTGATTTTTATGGAGAGAGCATGACTGGAAAGTTCCTACTTTGCCATATCCAGCCATAACTGAAGTTTGCATTTTTTTCAAATATAACTTGGGATCAGGTTCTCTGTGGGCATTTTACAGAGATAATCAGTTTCCTTGCAGCAGCAGAAGAAAAAATAAAAATCTATAATTGCATGTAAACTGAATGATCCTTATGGGTCCATTCCAACTGGAGAAAACCTTTAAGATCATCAAGTCCAACCATTAACCTAACACTGACAAGTCCACCACTAAACCATGTTCCTAAGGACCACACAGAATCATAGAATCATGGATCTACATCTACATGTCTTTTAAATACTTCCAGCATTGATGACTCAATCACTTCCCTGGACAGCCTGTTCCAATGCTTGACAATCCTTTCCATGAAAGAATTTTTCCTAAAATCCAGTTGAAACCTCCCCTGGTGCAACTTGAGGCCATTTCCTCTCATTCTTTTGCTTGTTACTTGGGAGAACAGACCAACACTCACCTTGCTGCAACCGCCTTTCAGGTAGTTGTAGAGAGTGATAAGGTCTCCCCTGAGCCTCCTTTTCTCCAGGCTGAACAACCCCAATTCCCTCAGCTGCTTTTCTTTTGTGCTCTAGACCCTTCACCAGCCTCGTTGCTCTTCTTTGGACATGCTCCAGCACCTCAATGTCTTTCTTGTAGTGGGGGGCCCAAAACTGAACACAGTATTTGAGGTGTGGCCTCACCAGTGCTGAGTACAGGGGGACAATCACCTCCCTCGTTTTGCTTGCCACACTATTTCTGATACAAACCATATTGGTCTTCTTGGCCACCTGAGCACACAGCTGGCTCGTATTCAGCTGGCTGTTGACCGACACCCCCAGGTCCTTTTCCACCAGAGAGCTTTCCAGCCACCCTTCCCCAAGCCTGTAGCTTTGCATGGGTTGTTGTGATCCAAGTGCAGGACCTATCACTTGGCCTTGTTGAAACTCATACAATTGGCCTTGGCCCATCATCCAGCCTATTCCAATCCTTCTGTAAAGACTAGGCTCCTTTAGGCTCCTTTCTCTCTGTTTGGTGGTGGTTTGGGGGTTTTTATTTTCATTTTACTTAATTACATATAGAGATGACAACAGAGAATGCTGTGTCAAGAAATTGCTTGCATGTAAGGCAAACCATCATTTGCTTCATTGTAATCCTGATGTACTGAAGTTGGGTCTCAAAACCTTTAAAGAGTTTGGTACCTGTCTCCTAGCAAGACCAGCAACAAACACTGCTAGAACAAGACTTGGAGGTGTGTGGGACAAAAGTACTGTACTTGATAAATGTGAGGAGTAGCTCTTAGGGCACTGTAAAATGGTGGGAGGAGATAAAAGAGAAGGTGATGAAGTCTCACACTGTATCAGCTTTGAGGAGAGAACTTGAGACAATGATAAATAAAGACAATATTATGCAATGAGTCACAAATGCACATTTTATTAATGTGCCAAATGGGGGCAGTGACAAATGAGACTGCATGATAGGCTGGGTGACTAGTTCTTTCTCTCCTCATTTCATGGCTTCATGTACTGGATACTCTTGTCCACTATTTGGAAATATTTTCCATATTTTCTCATTGTCTATGATTCTGACTCTGATCTCTGTATGAACACGAACAAGTAAGTCATTCTATTTCTCTGCTTTCAATAGACTATTTATAAAGATATATATTGTAATTCACTATCTTCTTTTTAAACATGATTGTGATAATAGAAGGAAACTTGTTTTAATTATTTCTTTTCCTAGGGACTTTTTGACCAGCTGAGATCCAAATGGAATTTCACATAAAAAAAACTCTGAAGGAGGCAGAGGGAAGACATTCTGCCCAAGTTTACCTAGAATAAGAACAGTGAGAAGATTTTCAAGAGTTGCTCCTCCTGATGCCCTGTCATACAAGAACAGTCAAGGATCAAGAAACACACATGATCCGGGTACTCTGGATTTTTTTCAGCATTTGCTCAAATATTAAGTTTTTGGCTGTCCTCCCCCACTTTTCAGCCCTTCCCCTTTCCCTCCAGGTTCTTCAAGTGAGCAACCCTTTGTCCCCTGCCTAGGCTGTGCCAGCGGAGGGCAGTCTAGCACTGCTTTTGCCGGATCAAATCTTGCCCAGGGTTTCAGTTCAGGGTGGAATTCTGAAAAAAAGTGTTCAAAACCAGTCGAGTAACCTATTTCACCTAGATGATGCTTCTAGATTTCTCAGCATTTTATGCATTTTCTATTTCTGTGCACTTTAGAAATGACTTTCATTGATTAAGGCTCAGACTACGTGTAAAAATGTGAGCAATGATAAATTGCTCCAGTTGGTCTGCTGAAGTTTAAGTTGTCTTATTGCTCTTTGCACATAACCACCATTCGATGTATCTTAACTGTTTGCAAGTGCTGGCTTCGCTTCTGCCACCAGTGGAACAATTTGCCTGCACACTGACTTAATGTGTAGTAGTCAGGGAAAGGAAAAAGGGAAAGGAAGTATTTTAAAAGGCTGTAGAAAGCTGTGCTACATACAAATGCCGTCTGATAGCCATAAATACAAATCTATCTGCAAATGGTTGTCTTAGGAAGAGCTCCTGTTTAATTTTCATTTTAGAAATACAAGAATCATGCAGTATGTGAATTTACTGGAACATTTTGTAATCTTTCACAGTATGAAAAGGAAGTCACTCATGTTGAGTCATCTTCCAATTTCTTGGGGGAGGTCTGAAGCCAGTTTTTATGGCAGGGGAAGTAGACAGAGTTGCTGGGGAGTTTTATGCCTAATGTCTCAGAGTAATACCATATTAGGCTAATCTTCATGCTGGTAGTATAAATTGTCCACTTTGAAATGGCTTTTGCATTTACATCTAGGGTTGTTAGACCCTCTCTTTGGGCCTGCTTCACTATGACTAGTTACTTGAGTCAGTGCTGCTCTAATTTGTGAGGAAAGCCCTGAGCCCTGGCTTCTTGGAACAGCAAGACCCCGTGGTTTAGTCTAGATATCAGAGAGTCCTGCAGTGAACATCTCACTCATGAATTAGTTACTATTTTTCAATTGAACCATTAAAGAGTGAATGAAGTAAATGCCTCATAGATAGACTAATTTCTACTGATAGTAGAAATATTTAATGACTTGACCATTAACCTTGGACTGAAGGCTAGTCTTTTTGTTAAGTGCTGTATCATAAATTTTCAAATAGTTCTGAACTGAAACTTGTTTTACATCAAGTTCCTTATGTTTCTGTCAACAGAAAGGTATTGTGCAACAAACACTTTAAGCAAACAAGATATTAAGTAATTGTACAAGGAGGAAACTTTCAGAGAAGGAACCTACAGATAATATGGACTCAGTTTTTGACAAACACCATGACACTTTACTGCTTACTAAGTCTTTTTAAGAGCACACTGATGTGGGTAAACTGCTTTCTTTCTTACCATTACCTTACTTTCTGAATATGTGTAAAGAAGAAAATTTAGAGATGTTTTAACTTCATTTTGCTACACATTTTTTTTCTCTTAAGAAACCTTATATGTCTTTGGCAATAAAATTAAAACTAAATCAATTAAAATTTCCTGCTTATTGATTTGAAACATGCTTTAAAGTTACCAAATCAAAGTAATTTTAGTCAATTCACCTAGAGGGAATATTGTTATATCTGACTAGTTTCATATCAGCATTTCATGAAAGTTAATTTTTTTCCGGTTTAGGAAAATTACAGTAATATCTGGAGTATTCACTCTTCTGATATTTTTTGGTTTTCAGCCTGGTTATTAGATAACACTGTTCACAGTTCAAGCATTGAAACTTTCAGTGTGAAAAAGTAAGATTTACAAACTACAGTTTCTTTGTATTTGGTTAGATGTAAATTTGTATTTGGTTAGATGTAAATAGTAATTAAAACAAATAACCTTAAGAAGAATATGTCTTTTCAAAAAACAATACATTATATAACTAGAACATAAATATATCAATTATAATGTATTGTTTTTTGAAAAGACATATTCTTCTTAAGGTTATTTGTTTTAATTACTATTTACATCTAACCAAATTTTTATTAAAAATCTCTATTTCAATATATTACAGATAGACAATTTTGGATTAATAATTTTTTCTGGCAAAATGTTTTTCTGAGCTGGATACTTCTCATTTTAGTTATCTTACAGTCACTTCTACAATTTATTCCAAAATATTGCAGATAATTTCAGACTTGTAAAAACCACCTTCTTCCTTTCCCCCACAATTATACAGAAGGTTAACTTTTAGAAAATTATCCCTGTAGAAGCCTTATTTACTGTAATATTCAAAGTCTAAAAAAATTAGAGGAATGATAGTCCAGTTTTATTTTGATGTGCAGTTAAATCAATGCCCCTAATATTTATTTTAAATTCCATGCAATAAAATTGCAAATTTGCAAAAAATGTGAAATTCTCAAAACGCAGCTCTTTCTGAAGAAATGCTTGTGGCATCTTTTTTACCATAAACCTCCCATCCATTCACAGAAACTTTTATAAACTTTTCTACATTCCTACTAAGATCTCACCATTTCCTGAATACTGTTTGTACCTGTGTAGATATTAGACACTCAGTGCACTACAGAAGTGTGCATTGAATACCGAAGGATAGTTTATCTGTCAGCTACTGTATGAGCTAGACTTATTCTAAGAAATTGAATTCTCTCTTTTCAGTGGAATTTATAGAAAGCAAGAGAGTACATCTGTCAAGCAAATAGCAGATGATCTTTTGGCCTGCAATGTCATGTCTTGTGAAGAAGTGAATACCATTGCCTATGAAAAGGTTGAACAAGAAGCCTCAAGAATGATGATTTACATGGTTTTGAGTAAAGGTTCAGAAGCCTGCAATATTTTGGTTAAGTCACTTGAGAAACACAACCCTTTTCTTTTTCATGACCTGCAAGGATATTGTGTTACTGGCTGTATTTTTGTCTTCTGACCAGGAGTTAAATTAATATAGAAAAAAACCATGAAAATCTTGCAGTGCTCTCATTTTTACAATAGTCTTAAATTCTGTAGTTAAGTAAACTGTAATTTAATTTGTATGGTCTGAATTGTTTCAAATGGAAGAATAAGACAGTGAACACTATGAAATTTTACAAACGCTAAGACACAAAAGAGGGGAAACCCAAATCCAGTGAAAAAATTCTGAAAGGGTGAAAATCATCTGTGATCAGATAGCTGAAGTTCAGACAGTTAAACACATCCCATCACTTGTTTATGTTGAGTTGTGGGTGAGCTGAACACTGAATTAGATCAGTTCTGTGAACAAAATTCATATAAAATTTAATGGCGATATATAATGAGGTTTTTAAATATAAACATTCTCTGGAAGCTGAAACTACTTGTGCACAGGCTTCATGTTCATTGTGTTATTAAAGGACTGACTATCTTATTGTACGAATGTAATGCAGACAACTAGGCTAATCTTTTGGCACTCCCAGAGGAGCATAACATTTGTTACTGGAGCATTTCCCTAAAATAGGTTTCCCTGATTTCCTTCAGTTTGTGGACTGTGCTTCTTTACTCCACCTACTTCCAAAGTCTGATCTTGAAATACATGTCTGACTTAGCCCTGTCCCATAGTCTACATATATGCACATTAAAAAACAGTGCATAGAAACCTTCCAGGACTCCCTTTAGAAGCTGGTTTGGTTTTGGGTTTTTTTTTTTTTTAAGTTTCAGACTTACTAGATGTTGCTACAGTTTATTATGTCTATGATGGAATGTTCAGCTAAGCTTACCTCCAAACTGTATGAAAGCAATTTTGGAGTAGCCAAAAGTAACAAAAATGCAAAAGACGTAGTTTTAAAAAAGATCTAGATTAGAAGTTGATTTGGTCCAATGGTCAAAAACTGTTACTGATTTACAAATGTCTCAGTACTCTAATACCTTTCATATATATATGAAAGCTGTATTTCCACATTAAAACCTCATCACATAAAAAACTCAGTCTCATCATGCATTTTCACATATAAACCTTCATATGCTTGTATGCAAGCTTACATTTCTGGAATCCAGTGCATGAACAGGATAAGTTCAAAAGGCCCTCAAATAAGAAATCAAGTGGAGCCAGAGTGGTATCTGCAAGCTATATGAATCTTATGCATAAGGAGTAACTACAGCCCTTACCAATTAAGTCTTGCCTAGACAGTGGACATTAGATACATCTCATGCCTCTTGCTTACCTCTATTTCATTGATTTTTCAAGTACATTCAGGCAGTTCTTCGAAAAGTAATGAAATTTTAATTGACAAACTCGTTGACTTTTTAATTCACTGAAACATGATCTGTTTGCCTTAGATACTACCAGGCAAGTGGAACAAGATAAATTAAATTACTTGATTCAGTATTTAAAGTATGTGTTATCTATCTTCAGTTTTTCAAAAATATAATCCTCTGGGTAGTGATATTGAAATAATTTTTGATTTGGGAACTGCCTATATTGATGTCTTGCTGTGGAAAGCTGACGCTAAATGTCCTTCTGGAGGAACTGAAAAAACCCTGCATTATAGAAGGAGAAACTGGCAAAGGGAAAACAACTCTTCTAAGAATTCTGTACTCTAGACATCTGAAAATTCCTCTGCTTTGAAAAAATTCCAATTCGTTTTCTTTATCAGCCTGACTAGCTCAAGAGGTGGAATATATGAGACCGTCTGTGATCAGCTTGTTCCTGAACAATACCCCATCTGCAAACAAGATTTAATGAAAATGCTGCTGGCACAAAGACAAAGGGTTCTTTTCCTGTTAGATGGATATGATGAATTCAAACCCCCAAACTGACCAGAGATAGAAGCAATGATTAAAGAAAACAACAAATTCAGGAAATTATTATTATTATTGCTATCAGGACTGAGTATATTCATAAAATCAGAGTTTAGGTCACTACTAAAATAGGATGTCTATGGGAGGAGAGTTGCAAGAAGATCATTAAAAATGTCTTGACAAATAAGCTGGCTGATGGTCTGTTAAATCAGCTTAAAGAGGCCACTTCGATGAAGAACCTTATGAAGACTCCACTATTTGTCGTCATTGCTACTACTCTTCTGTTCTCTACTGTGTATGACTTGATGATGGAGAAAACCAGGTATGAAACAAAAGAAATAACAGAAAATCATATGCTAAACATAAATCATTGTGGAGACTTAGCTTTAAATGGAATATTTGATCAAAGATTTAATTTTCAGTGTGAGGATTTAGCTGACATAAAAGAAGTCCTGCTAGCTTCAGATCTTCTAAATAAATGCACAGCTCAAAGACTAAAGCCAACATACAGATTCTTTCATAAATCGTTTCAGGAATACACTGAAGGCAGAAAACTTTGCAAGCTACTGCCATCCTGCCAAGAAGCAGAGGTGAAGAAAGGGTATAGTTAGCTACAGAAAATTAATACTATTACAGATATTACTAATACTTATTTCATTTTGTTTCTCTACCCTTGTGGATCCTCTCTAGATGCCACTAGAATAATTTTGGACTTACTGAAAATAATTGATCAGCATAGAGATATTTCTGTATATAAGTCTTTCCCATAATTAATGCTTCTAGCTTGAATAATCTTTTTCATTAAAAATTACAGTGGCGTAATAAAGAAGAGACTAACTATAGTCTAGTATGCTCCACATATACCTGAAGTGAAGGATTCTGCAAATAGGATGAGGCGCATGTATTTCCTTAGGCTGTGAATCTCACACATATGGGATCCTTCAACACTATTGTTAGAGCAGGGCACTAATGGCAGATGGGTGCATCTGCTGCTGCACTGCTAGCTTTTCATCATTCAAGCTGTCCATGAATGGAGCTTGTCTTGAGAAATGTATGCAAATACTGATGATACCAAATCTCAAAGGTAGTAATCATGAGTCAGCAAAGCACCCTTGCGGTGATAAAGACTAAACACATCATAGGCTGCATTAGTACCACTGTACTCTAGGAAGTGGTTTATTCCCTTCTGCACTCTTGTGGCCATCTGGAGTAGCATGTACAGTTTCAGGATGCCCAGTATAAAAGAGATACTAACAATCTGGTTAGAGACCAGTGGAGGGCCAGTAACATGGCTAGGGAGCTGGAACACCTGATACACCAGGAGAAGCTGAGAGAACTGGGCATGGTTTGCCTGGAGAAGAAAAGGCGAATGGGGAAACTAATTGCAGTCTCCCATTGACTTAAGAGTATTATAGAAAAGATGCAGCTTTTCAGAGTTGCACAACTAAAGGGAAAGAGTCAACAATTTCAAGTTTTTAACAACAGAGGTTGCAATTGGACATAAAAAGGTTTTTACTAGGAGAGTGATCAAAAGGGTTTTTACTAGGAGGGTGATCAAACATTGCAACAGGGATCTGGAGGTCATTTAATCACTAACCTTGGAGATTTTCAAAACTTGGCTGGACAAGGCCCTGAGTTAGCTCATCTAACATTCAAATCAGCCCTGCTTTGAGCAGAAAATCAAAGTAGATGACCTCAGAATTCCTAACCTGAATTTTTCAATCATTCTATGATATAATCCCAATATTATTCTGGAACTACATATTAATGAATTATCTTTCCTTGTGCACACATTCCAAGATTATTAGGGAGAAAAGAATAAGAATATAATAACAGCCATACTGATTCAGAGGAAGGGTCCATCTACCTTGGATCATTGTCTCCAATAGCACCTATCAGTGGATGTCTAAGGAACAGCAAGAACAATGTAAGAATCTATAATACTTTCTTCTTAATAATATCATAGCTTGTGTTTTAAGATCAAACCAGTTGCCTGTGCTTATGATTTGTTTATTGGGTGATGTCCTCAAAGGGTCCTGCTAATACTTGTCTGTCTTTGCTTTGAACCCATGTAAACTTATTGCATCTGCAGCATCCTTTGGCAAAGCGTGTGAAGGGCTATGTCCTTAATGTTTGTTTTGGACTAATTGCAATTGATGTCCTCTTGTACTGAAAGAAAATAAATGAACAGTCAGTCTCTATCCAACCTTTTTCTATGTTGTAGACCTCTGTCATATACTCCCTAGGTCACCCCTTTTAGATGTTCATATTTTCACACAAAACTATTATTTACCTTTCACAAGAAGGTAATGTCACTGAAGTGTATCTGTTCTATAAACAAATTTGTTCCTGCATTAAATTAACATGCTGTATACATCTATGGGGCTTTTCTTGGCATGTGGATTTACTGATGGAATAAAGAAACTTGTGAATGCTGAGGAGCTTGTATTTGACAACATAAGTATGGATGAAAGTGATGCAAAAAAATTAGGTAATTTCCTTTCATATTTTACATCATAATCAAGTATATAGTGCTGAGAATGTGAATACTTTAACAAGTTGGTCTGAAGTTAGTACACTATTAGGAGTTGAAAATCCTACCATTTCTTATAAATTTGCATTGAAGTCTTGATATATTCTGTATCCTGACTGTCACAAATTATTAGAGGGCTCCTTTCAAGTTAGTAATGCATACTGTAGTCAGATCCAACATACTGATCCCAGGACTGAGCTAATCTGCATGAACTGCAAGTCAGGAGGTTGCAAAGCTGATATAGTTCCCCTTCCTGACCTATTGCTGACTTTCTGGAAGGTCAGTCACTGGATACCAAGGTTATAAATTTTGAAAAATGTTTGCTAAGGGCACACAACCCAGTAACTGAAATGGAGATGGCAATTCGTATGTCTACCCATCCTCTATTTTATGGCATGGTAAAAAAACGCTTCTCCTGGATTTGTTCCACAGGCAGATCACATTTGATCCTCTATGAGTTACTTTCTCTGGGCTGAGGAGCAGTTTATATTGATTACATGATACGGTAGCTGAACAGAAGGTTGTGTTTATTATTTTTTTTGCAAACAAAACTTCTCGTATATTTCATGGCATCAAAAAATAGATAGTTGTAGTATGCCAGGCAGTAAACATCTAATTCTGTCTAGCTGTTTGCTGTGATCAAATATATCAAAACAGTTCACCTAACAATGTGAACTGTTTTTGGTTGGTTTTTTTTTCCATTCTCTTCATAACTGAAGGTATCAGAAATTTGAGAAAGCTATGCTTATTATACATGAATCATTTGACAGCTATTGGGGATGGCATAACCTACATTGTAAGATCAGTCTGTGATGAAGTAATGAACTTGAAGAAATACAACTAGTCAGCTACTTTATGTCTACTGATGCTGTGGAAATTTTAGGTAAGAATAGTAATAGTAACTTTAAAAACAAAATACATGTGTTTTGAAAATCAAAACATAATTCTGTAACAGAAGAAAAAAGCATATAAGGATAAAATCAGAAACGCTTAGGTTTGTGATGAGTTTCAGTTAGCAGAGATGTAAAATGCAGTAAGGAAAGTATAAATAAAGCTTTTATATAAATGCTAAGTATGAAGGTTACATAAAAGGAAAACATAAACTATTGCATAGCTCTGTAAACAAACAAAATAGAAAAACAAATAATAGATGATGCAAGCAAAACTAGTTTTCAGAATTGTTTTTGTTTTAATCATTACCAAAAAGATTCATTCTGATCAGGTGCCTACTCTAATCACTTTAACAACTTCACAGTACTACAAATAAGGATAAATAAAAATTATTTAACTAAAACACATGAACTCAGGTTGGCAGAATTTAGGGAAATTCACAATTAAGTATGTAAGGAACAAGCTGAAAGAATCATTGAACCGTAGACAATTGTCTCTGAAAATCTGTGGTGGCAGGGAAGTGGAAAAATCCGGTATATTTTCCTTGAAAGGTGGAAATCATAGACAAGCCAACCTCACTTTGATATCAAGAAAAATTCTGAGACAGATTATCACACAAACATTTTGTAAGCACTTAAATTATAGAGGTAAAAGGTAGTGTGAAAAAATCATGTCAAATCTATCCAGGTAACAGAGTAATAAGATTGTAAAAAGATAAGTTTGGATCTATCATAACTCAAATGAGGGCTTTAACACTATCCTATACAACATCCTTAACAAGAAACTAATGAAATATATATAAATAAAATGGGTGCATAACTTGTAAAATTACATTCAAAGAGTTATCAAAAATGTTTCACTGAGACAACATTTTGATACAATCAATTAAGTAGCCATTTAATAATGAATAAAATATTGAATAAAAAAATTAAAATAGATTTAAAATTACTGGGGTGCATCTGTGAAAATAGATTTCTGTAGTAAATACCTATTTTTTATTTGGACACAGAAAAGACATCTCAAAATAATACAGTTTGAAGAAGGCAGTCTCATCAACATTTATAAATTTCAATCCTTTCAATTGCTTAGTTGCTTAGCAGAGCAACTTTGTACTTCAAAGCTCTGTTACAGATTGGCCAAAATGTGAAAGAATAACCAAGCTTTTGGTGAAACCTCCATCCCTTTTCGCAGGGCTGTATCTGGTTTCTTTCCTTCCTACTCCCTCAGCAGACAATACTTCTCACCAAAGACTGTAGTTAATGTTGTTTACAGTAGAAACAATGAAAAGTTGAATAAATTAGAAAGACCATTTTTGTTCTGCCTCTTCCTTTATTTACTCTTTATCACTGGCACCTGATGTTGCAGACCCAGGCGAATTTCTTGCCCTCCACAGCTTTCTTTTGTAAGAAAAAACAAGCAGAAAAGCACACTGTCTATTTTCTTGTGGATATTGAATTGCAACATACTGAGTGTTCTTGTCTTGAGATGTATAAATCCACTCTGACAGTTAAGACATATGATACAAAACCAAAGAGGTCTATTAGGCCTCATAATTAATGTACTAGGATGTGGACAGGTGTTTGAAATAACCAACATATTTTTCAAAGGACTTTAAATTTTCAATTTAAAGGTAGTTGTGAAAACTCAGATCTAGAAAGTAGCTGACAGAAAAAGGGTACTAGCTATTGCTGAACCTGAAGAAGAAAGTGTGGGTAATCCAAGCAGGTGGTTTTGTAAGAACAAGATCTTAGAGAGGTGGTGGTAAAAATTCAGTCCTGGAGCTTGAATGGAGATTGGTGATCCTTTTGTGAGGATGACTGTAATTAAGGCACTTTAGGGAGAAACAAGGAGCAGACCAGGAACTCAGACAAGATGCTTAGAAATTAGAATGACTAAGAAAATATGTACTTTTTACTCTATGTGGCTATGCAGTTTCATTGCCAGTTGTCATCTTGGACATAATAGGACCAAGCTGGAAACCTGAGCTATAGAGCAGGCAGATTTGAGTAAGGCCTAGAAAGAAAATAAGAGCCAGATGAGGGCTTATATCTGATGCTATGCCAAAAACCAAAGGACTGTGTGAGCACTGACGCAATCACCTTTCTAGAGCTATAGATGGAATATGTAGTTTTTCATTGGAGAAAGGGAAAGGAGAACTAAAAAACAAGTACATGAAATCACAAAAATGGACAAATGATGTTGCTTAGATAGTTGGGGACAAATCTGTCCAAGTTTGATTTGACAGTGCTATCAAATTGAACTGCTGACTTCCCTTGTTTTTAGGCTCTCATGCTATTCAGCCTTACTCTTCCAGCCTGAAGGCCATTCTGTTTTCTATTAAAAAATTAACAAAACCGTGCATAATTTAATTATTGTAATTAAAGGGCTATTATCTTCTTTCCAATGTGTTGTGTTGTCTTTTGTCCCAGAGTGTCATCATGTTTCCAGAGAGTGCTTTGCATTGGCAGCCTTTTGCCCTCACTTTGTGCTGATGTAAGTAAATACATACGGTGCATAGCAATGGAAAATCAGGCACTAGAAATTTGGTAGACTATCTTGTGTAGAGACCTGGAGTGTGTTCCATGTCTTGTGAGATCAGAAACAAATGTCATTAAATCTAGTCCTAGGAGGAATCCTTTACTTGGAAAGTAGTGGAAAAGTCTTTGTTAGAACTGCTGATAGAGGGAAAAAAAGCAAGCAGGCAAAGAGCAATGCTTTAACCACTTTTGAAATGGATAACTGAGCCTTTGGAAGACACTTCTAAGGGTCAATTGTAGCCCATGGATAGTCTCAACCCTACTAGAAGAAAGGCATAATAAGATGAGACCCCAGTTGTTCCATAGTGGAGTCAGTGAATAAACCTACATTTTGGTGTGCTATTTTTCTCATTAAACCAGCACGTTTCAGTTCTTCTACAAAATATTTTAAAAGTGAAAAATTAACCAGCAGTATCCTCCCCTCCACCCTATAAAGCAAAGGAGCCTGAGATATATACAAATCTGATTTTTCACATCCCCTCAGTTGCTTTCCCCAGTTTTACTCCGCAATATCTTGGATCATATTATTTTATACTTTGTACGTGCTTGCAGTAAGCACAGTAGCGCTGACTGTAAACATGAACAACTTTAGGTTTGTTTTTACAGTCTATCCCCTTCCTTCCTAAAGTCTGATGATTAACAAGCTGAGTTATAATGCTATTGCTACACATTCACAACTTAGGGATAAAAAGATGCTGATGAGATACTTAAAATGTCAAAACATAGATATATAGAAAGCAGGAAACTGCACCCTACAGAAGATCATTGTTTGTTGTTACAATACTGTATAGTGTATGCTTTCAATGATTTACGAAGGATCATTTAATCTGCCTTCCCAGCCCTCTGGATCTGAATTAGTCTCTTGATAGCTCTGATTAACTTGGCCCCCTTCAGTCATATAATGCTGGTTTTGCTTGTAGATAAGCAGCTTTTGGTTCGTTGTATTTGGACTGTTTCCCACAAGTGGTATAAATGTGTCCTTAATGCTTCTTACAAGTTTGTTAATAAGATTAGAGGGATGATTGTAATATTTGTTGATTACTATCCAGAATACTGCTAATCCATTATGGTGGTGAGGAAAGGGAAGTACACAGCATGGATTTGAACATAAATCTCAAACAGTAGCACTTGTTAACTTGCAGCAGCTTATGTATTTTATTGTGCTCACTGCCAATTAAAATTCTTACACAGAAAGCTTGCTTCACCCTAAGCTTGACCTGCCTCATATGATGCACTGAGATGGCAATTTCCTTGAATTAGGGTAGTTTGGGCATGTGACAAGTATTCTCTGACCACCTTTCTTACTGTGAGTCTCTAATAACTAGCTAGCACGCAAGAAGAGCATTAACATCTTTATTGTGTTAGTTCTCTTGTGTGAAAACATAATGGGTTCCAGTGGAAGGAAAATAAGATTGGTACTATTTCTAACCAAAGAGATTCTGTCACATACAGCAAGCAATCCTTTCAATTTACTCCTCTGCATTTGCTTTCTTTTTCTCCTTTAACTTTACTTCTTTCTACTCCTGTTCCTATTTTTTTTTTTCTGCAAATCTTCCCTGACATCCTTTTAACAAGATTTTTAAAAAAATATTTAACAAAAAGAGAATTTTAACAAAATGTATTTAATTAAATTTTGTCTGGGATACAGGAATGAGCAGCTACAACTGCTCAAATACTTTCAAGACTGGGATCTCAAAAATTACCTTGAGATTTGGATCAAAGGGTGCCACCTCCCAAAAGGCAGAATATAACAATAAGAATAGATTTGTCAGTGTTAACAGTCAGAAAATTTTCTCCAAATTACAAAACTATCATAAGAAAAACAGCAAAGGATTGTTCCTTTTCAAGGCCATGAATATTCCAGTATCCGGAGAGAAATCTCATTGATCTGGAAATGCTTGCAGAAACCTATCTGCTTCTAGGCCTTCTTTCTGGCATACAGATGTCTCAGGAGCTAGACGCACAATCCCTAAGGTTCTCTACTCAAAATTACCTCAGACAACTACCAATTGAAGGTCTGAAGGTATGAATCTGGAGCACACCTAGCTCAGCATTGCTAGTAGCAATAGCGTCTTACAGGAACAATGGTAGGAACTCATGCACCGAGGGCAAGACAACATGTCAGTTGACAGATAAGCCTAAAAGAACCCTGTTCTGAACAATATAGTAGAAGATGAGAGTGAACTTGCATGATTGGTAGGAAATAAACCTTTCCCAGCACTATATGAAAAGAAGTCAAAGTGACTAGGAGGTTTTTCCGCAGGCTTTAGGACAAAACCAAGTATTTCATTAAAACTACGGCCTGCAAAATGAGTCAGTATACTAATATACTACAACAGTCAGGGTTACGTAGCATATTAGTCAACTCATAAGCATATATCTTCCCTAACCTTGAGGGATTTTCACTGGCAGATCTACAAAAGCATAACCATCCGGGCCAACATTGCGAGGCAGTTAGGCACAGTTATGC